AGAAGTTATTCCCTTTGTATATACATATATGCATCTAGAGGTTTTACATCATTTCAAATTTATAAACAACCTTATCTTCATACCCTTTTCAACTATGAACATGTCTCTGATATCTATTTGATGTTTGGAAGGACATGGAAGAACTAAAGAAAGAAGTTAGAGAGGCCCGGAGGATCAAAATGTTGCATCAGCCCAGCAAGGTTGGGATAATCATACCTACTATACAACTCAGTATATCAATTGGAGTGTGTATACTCTCTTCATCATATGGTCACATGATACATTTTGCGTTTGTCTAGGCAATGGATCTGGAAAATGAAATACGAATTTTACGTAACACATTTGCTGAGAAGTCCAAGGATTGTGTTAATCTTTTGAAAGAGGTATACTTTTTATTGTTACAAATACCTGGTTCAATTTGTTAGTATTCTGGAATTGGTATTATTTAGTGTACTGGAAGTAAGTATAAATAACACAAGCGCCATTCTATTCAGAAGCATGATGCGTATATGCCACTTCTTTTATTTCGGGAGAAAAGCTATGGTACTGCTTGGATCAGTCACAAAAAGTGAACTGTGTCTCTAGTCACTGCTGTCCTCAGACAGCCTCAAGCTGTTTTATTGTCAACATCTGAAGTGTTTCCAGCAGTAGTGATCTTTTGTTGTGTCAAATATAAGACCTTGTTACATTACTGATTTAGAAATATGTTTCTGGCAGTTGGAAATGCATAAAAGGTTAAAAGAAAATGGTACCATCCCTTCATTCGATCTGGAGGGTCTCCAATGCTTAGGATCAATGCTACGTATAGTTGGTCTGAGTGGTACTCACATGGATTTGTCAAATATTTCAATCCAGTGGTTCCGGATACATCCAAAAGAAAGCAACAAAGAGATTATTTCAGGTGGAATCATGCTCTGTCTTTGTCGCAATAAATTCAGAGTGCCAGTGCTTTTTACATCTTTTGTTTTGAACCTCTTTAGGTGCCACAAGACCAGTATATGCTCTAGAGCCGCATGATGTTGGACGCTATTTGCAAGCTGAAATCGATGTTGGTGGTGAGATTGCAGTAGCAAAGACAGCTGGGCCAGTAGACCCTGGTTTGTTTGACTGGACACATTTGGTGAGCAGTTTTTGTATGTGTTGGTTATTGCATGACTAACATGTGTTTATTATTGTTAGCAGATGCTGGATTGGTTGATTATGTGGAGACACTCGTAAGGAAACCTGAAACTGAATTCAATGTATGATTCCAGCATCCTTTGCCACTCTATGGCATTTCTTTTGCACAAATATGACATGTTGAGATCGCAACTTTTTGAAGCATTTATTCCTATTTACCAAATAAGTAGTCTGAATCGGCATGACCAGTATATTAGCTTGAATTTTTCAACTGTGCACACGTACTATTAAACATGTCATCTGCTGCTCTTAATTTGAATAGTGCTGCTGGTAACATAGCCAGAAATCAAATCAAGGCACAACCATTAGAACCTTAAGCAGGTGTTCCTAACTGCCCCTTGCTTTGTGTCTTATTACAGGTGGTTGTGCTTCAATTGAATGGCGTTGACCAGCCAAAAGAGTCAGTTCACGTACTCAATGTCGGAAGACTGCGGATGAGGCTTACTAAAGGGAAGTCGGTAGTTGCCAAGGAATTCTATTCCTCATCAATGCAGGTATGGTACAATGCATGAGTAACATCATATCTTCTCTTTTGTTGTTAGATAGTGATTGCGAAGGATTATATTACATATTGGTGCATCTACTATGGCAAAAAACCTGCCTGTCTTTAAGGGTTGTTACAGAGGCTCAGTCCAAGTTGACAAGTGAGATGATTCTCCCAGCCCCTAAAGGCCTTGCTGTTTTTGTTACAGTTATGTGGTGTTAGAGGTGGAGGCGAAGCAGCCTCGCAGGCAATGTTTTGGCGACCCAGAAACGACCTCAGCTTGGTGCTAGCCTTCGAGAGCACTCGAGAACGCAACACAGCCATCATGCTTGCTCGGCGTTTCGCTATAGATTGCAATGTATGTGCCTTCGACAAGCACTATGTACGAGTCTCATACTGCTGCAACATTTTTTCTTACCTTATTGAAATGGTTGCAGATCATCCTTGCTGGGCCAGGCGACAAAACTCCCTGGTGAACGAAGATGGCACCTGTGCTCTACCGATCCCACCACTCTTAACAATTCGCGATTTGTGCAGTGATGTACATTTTGCGTGCACAGCGTGCTTGCACCAGTTCCTCTAATTTTCATGTTCAGTCTGGGCTGTTCCGCTGCTCGTCCTCGTGTCGTAGGTTTCTGAAAGAAGGCGCCGTGCGCACCGTTTTAACCGCCTCGGCGCCGCCTTTCTATCTCACTGTACTGTGTTTTCAGTCGCGAGGGTTGTAATCTGTTGCTAGGAGATGCGACAGTAATGTAAGCTTGATGCAGTATACGTCTAATTGTGTTTGACATATGTTAGTGTTGATGTTGAAGCAATGATATGATAGGTAATATGTGTGGAAGTGAGGGAAAAAAACCTTCTAACCCGCCTCGGTCGTGATGTGAGCCCGAATACTGGCTCGTGGGTCTATCTCTTGTTCAATTCAATGATACAATTGCACGATTAGATTTGAAAATAAAAATTTGCCTTTAAGGACATATACGTCCACGTGCATTCACCTTTGGATGTATATGGGTCGCGTGTGCAGCTACAGCTAGAGAGACCACACGCATCCTCACGTGCATTCAATGGTGATGCGCATGGAGCAGATGGGACAAAAATAAGATACAAATGTACCGTCCTGTTCACTTGGCTTATAAGTCGTATTTTTTTAGCCAACGAATAATATTTTTCGCTTACAATAAATCAACCAACAATACTTTCAGCCATGCCTTATCAGCCAAGCGAACATGATAGTAGTCTATGTAGTTTAATGTTTTTGGTAATTATTATCCAACTTTATGGGAGGTATGAAATTGGTGTTTTTGGAGCACCACTTGAGGAGCTCTATAAATTCACTTCTATATTTTCAGGTGTCTATTTTTTTTGTTCAGCCAATTGGTAATTTTATTATTCAATAATACTCTGACACGGGCGTTCGCGCTTATCTGGACACTGCGCGCCCACACACCCGCCTCGCTGCTATCTTTCCCCACAACTCGCTCCTGCCCGCGACGCCACTCGTCCCACTCCGCTCTGGTTCTGCTTCAGTCCTTCATGGCTCCAAAAAAATCAGTACCGCCCATCTTCTCCATCGCAGGGGCTGCTCGCCACGGGCAACGCCCTCGCCCGCCACGGCCGTCTCCAGCGTGGCGGCGCCGCACCTGACCCGATCCCATGCTGCTCCGCGCCTAGCGTCACGTCACCGTCTCGAACTGCGCCCCTATCCACCTCACTCGTCGTGGAAGGGGAGGCAGGGTAGGCTTGCGCCTGCTCCTGTAGAGGCCTGCACCTACGCCCCCATCCACCTCGCACTGTCGACAGGAATAGGAGCCCTACACCATCGCAATTCCCCACCAGGTAGGCTGTGGCCGCCGGCGACGTTGTATTTCATATGTTTCAGGCGTTTTTAGACATGTTGCAAGTCTATGTTTTAAGTGTTTCAGACGTATGTTTCAAGTGTTTCATCTTAATGTTGCATATGTTGCTATGGCTATACACACATGTTTCAAGCTATGTTTCAAATGTTTCAGATATTTTTAGACTTATGTTGCAAGTGATCTGGATGTTGCATATGTTGCTTTGGTTATACACGCATGTTTCAGGAGCATGTTTCAAGTGTTTTATCTGTTTCAAAACACATGTTGTAAGTATTTTATCTGAATGTTGCATATGTTGCAAATAGCTATGTTGCAAGTGTATGTTCCGAATGTTTCATCTGTTTAGCCGTATGTTGCAATTTGTTTCATCTGAGTGTTGCAAAAGTAGATCTAGATGTATGTGTGGAGGAAGCCTAAGGCCTCGGTGGGCCAGCTGCTGTAGCTCTCTGGTGTGGCGAAGATGAAGGCCGCGAACACAGGAGCGGTGGGTTGGCATGCTGCGGCGGATCTACCGGTGGCTCTGTTCGGCTAATACATAAGCCAGTTGATAAGATGGCTGAAGCTGTTTTGTTGTAAAAGGGAAATACTATAGATTCTAGCTGATAAGCCGACTGATAAGTTCAAGCGAACAGGGCCCGAGAGGGATGGGCGTGGCGCATCAGGTGGGATGGGGAGCTGGATGGGACGCTGGCGAGGGGGCTATGTCCGTCGGGGCGTAGGCATGGGAGCTCCGAGATGGACGAACGCTGCCTCCGGAGAGGGATGGCAAGGGTGAAAGAAGTTGTGTTCGTCGGGCGCGCGCGGGACCTGCGTCCGGATGTCCGAGCACTAGAAATACCTTTATTCGGCCTGTTCGCTGGTTGGTTTCTGGTCTGATAAGCCCAGCTAGTGCTGGTTTGTTGTGAGAGAAAAACACTGTTAGCTGGCTGAAACCAACAAGCGAACATGCTGATTATTTGATCATCATAGGAAAATTTGTGAATTGTCTCTTCTATGATGTCCTTTTAACTGTACTAGTTGGTAGTATTAGATTGTTGCCTGAAATCATCTAAAACTTGAAGCATCTGAATATAGCAACTCGCTTTTGAATTTTAAGGATGTAGCCTCTAGATCTATGTTTTTTGTGCAAACGGCGTTTGGCTTGAAATCAATGAATTGAAGTTTTTTTTAGCTGCTGGAGTTCTCCCAAACTCATTTGAGAGCAGGACACAACGAGTGATATAACGGGTCTATGTATTGAGATCGAACTACATGCTAGGCATTAGCTGCGCAACTGCACACTAGCTTATAGTATTCTTGAAAGCACAAAAATAATATATAAGCTTTGCAAGCTGAGTGATTAAACTCCTTATTAGTCTTAGTATTATTATATACAGAAAGGTAAACAACTCGAAACAACAGATGGATCGAGTCATCGGAGTAGCAATGGACGCCCTAGCGACCCTAGTTGTTACTATCATCGTCCACAACGATGCCGTTTAAGGATTGCCGTTGACAAGCGGTTGGGCCTGTGGCCCCGGTAGTCTCCCACCCTCCTCCTTGGCCTTCTCCAACGCGGTCACCAGCCAATCGAGGCACGGTCCGGCGTCTTCGAATTCATCGGGGCTCCTGGGCGTGAGGTGCTCGCCGACGTCGACGGGCACCATGTTCACTACCTCGAGCAACGCTCTAACACGGCCGCACTGCGCCTCGTGCGCCTCGACGACGTCGTCGCGGAGGTGCATCCGCGCCAGGAACTTGAAGGACTCGTAGTCGCAGTAGGACATCTCGACTTCTTGTCCATCCGCCCCGTCCGGATCAGCGCCGGGTCCAGCTTGTCGACGTGGTTGGTGGTGAACACAATGAGCCGCTCCTCGCCGCACGCCGACCAGATGCCGTCGATGAAGTCGAGCAGGCCGGACAGGGTTACCTTGCTGCTCTTGGCGGCGTCCTCCTGCTTCTTTTTCGCCGCAGCAGGGTCGTCGCCGTCCCCGTCTTCCTCCTCCTTGCTCTTGCGCTTGCCGGTCAGGTCGAGGCGTCGAGCGAGCAGTCGATGTCCTCGAACACCATGATGGACTTGCTCTTGGTCTCGATGAGCAGCTTCCGGAGGTCGGTGTTGGTCTTCACCGACGTGAGCTCGAAGTCGTAGACGTCTTACTCGAGGTGGTTCGCCATCGCGGCGACCATGGTGGACTTGCCGGTGCCCGGTGGCCCGTACAGGAGGTACCCCCGCTTCCACGGCTTCCCCACGCGAGCGTAGTAGTCCTTGCTCTTCTTGAACATGTCGAGGTCGTCGATGATCTCCTTCTTCTTCGCTGGGTCCATGGCCAGCTTGTCGAACGTCTTGGGGTGCTCGAACGGGACATGCGTCCAAACGTCTCGGTAGAAACTGCAGTTATTTACATATATACATGATTCAGAATTAATTCACAGTCGAAGTGCGTTAAACATGTCGTCATGTACGTTCAGAAAAGGGTGCTTAGTAATTACCCGTCATCGTAGGCGTAGCCTTCCTTGAGGATGTTCGCGTGTAGAGTCTTCGCTGGCGGTTCTTGGCCATGATGGCGCGGCCCTCCCTGCGCACGTACGGGAGGTACTCGTTGAGCACCAGGTCGCGGTACCCCTCGTGGAACTCGAGCCGGAAGAACCGGCGCTCGGCGCGCGCGGCACGGCTCCACGGCATGGTGTCGTTGGGCGGCAGCACGGCGCCGGCCGACCACCAGACCGTGGCTCCCCGGAAGGCGTCGGCGACCTCCTCGCCCTTGGCCATGCTGAACACGAGCTTGTCCTTGTCGGTGGCGGCGGCGTCCCGGCGGCCGCCGCCGCCAGACTCGGCCCTGAGGTGGCGCACGTCGCGCGTGCTCGCCGTGGTCAGGTAGGACTTGATCTCGTCGAAGGCTTCGCTGCTCTTGATGCGCCTGCCCTCGTACCCCTCAAAGGTCACCGACAGGTAAGGGTCGACCACCGCGGCGAGCCGCCGCGCGCGACGGTTGAAGTTGCGCGCGAAGAACCGCTGCAGGTGGATGTGCTGCAGGTTCTGCCATATCATGGTCCAGCACACGGCCAGAACGCTTACCACCACCGACGCCTGGCCAAACCACGAAAGCACATCCATCTCTCAACTTTGTATGCTGCTCACTGTGTGCTCACTTCCAAGTCTCTTGGATACAGTTTCGAGTGTATTCTTGCGGTCGCCACAGTATATACAGGAGGACGCCACACGTGCATGCACAAATAGTTATACCTGATGTGCTACATATCTGATCGGGGCTCCCCACCCCACCTTATATAGTCCGGGGTGAGGTGGGGTTATAGATAGAGTTTCGATCGGTTTACATATGGGTTTCCTAGTTCGTTAGAAAGAAATCTATCAGAAAGAGTTGTTATTTCCAAGTAGACGAGGCACCCTCTCTTGTTTAGGCCCCCAACCTTCATGTGATTTAAAGAATCCGGCGGAGGGGTTAGTCTTTGATTGAAGTCTAAATGCGAGCACTTTTTGCGTCTAAATGCTCTCTTGTTGTGTTGTAGTCGACCAATGCCACGTAACCGAGCCTCCAAGCGATTTGGAGAATCGATCGGAGGGTAAGCTTGAAGCTGTTGTCTTCTTCTAGTCCTAAGCACGCCTCGAGCATGCATACCCAGTGACAATTCGGGTGAATAATCCTGACGATGGCGTGTCCGAGCGTTCATAGTCGAGGATGTAGTCGATGATGGCGTGACCAGATCGAGATAGACTGATGACGGCGTACTCGAGTAGTCGTAATCGACGACGAGGTAGGAGGCGGCGTGTATTGCGCGAGGGAGCCTGACAGCGGTGCACTCGAGTGGTCGAAGCCGATGACATGGTTGATGATGGCGCTACCCGCTCGAGGGATCCGGCTGAGGGCGTGCTTGAGTAGTCGTAGTTGGCGATGTAGTCGAAGACACATGACCGACTAAGGGGAGCCTGACGGTGGCATGCTCGAGCGGTCGTAGTTGACGATGTGGTTGAAGACGATGCGACCTGCTCGAGGGAGCCCATCAAAGGGCGTGCTCGAGTAGTCATATATAGTTGGCAGCGATCAAAGATGGCATGACCAGCTCAGGGGAGCCTAACGGCAGCGTGCCCTAGAGGTCATAGTCGACGACGTTGTCGAAGACGGCGTGATCTGCTCGAGTGGTCATAGTCGACGACTTAGCCTAGTGGCGACGTGACCAGCTTGAGGGAGTAGGGCGACAACATGTTCGAGTGGGTCAAAGGCGGTGTGATCTGCTCGAGGGAGCCTGTCGAGGGCGTGCTCAAGTGGTTGTAGTCGACGACATAGCATGGTGGCGGCGTGACCAGCTCAAGGGAGATGGACATCAACATGTTCGAGTGGTTGTTGCCGACGACATAGCTTGTCGATGTTCATCTTGTTAGGTGTATCCCTTGATGATATATATGCTGGTACTCTAGGAGAATGAGAGATGTCGCGGGGACATCGTGAGAGATCGGAATATGCCGCAACAATGTTGAGCCAAAATGAAGGAGACCGAGAGATGTCGTGGCGACGTCGAGTCGAACCGTGGATCATCGAAGGATGCCACGGGGGACGTCGAGTCACTGTCATGGATCATCAATAGTGTGCCCTATGAACTAGTCATTAGGACTTAGTGGACGCTGCATCTCGAATGTAGTGCAAGTTGAGTGGGGCCTTGCTGGAAGGTTCCACCAGTTGAGCGATAAACGTCTTGCGATACATGTATCAATGCCTACCACTCGTTGAGCTACAAACAGGATGAGCGAGTGTTCCCAGGTACTCCACGTCAAGTACCTAGCTCCGTAGTCCCATCTGGGGCATGTCATAAACCGCTAGTTGATCACGAGCACTGTATTGTCCGAAATCGATTGGTCGATTTCTGAGTTCCTAGGCGGGCATGCTCATAGGATCGACTTAGAAGCTCGCTTGAGTATATAGGTCTTTTCTATCTACATTGAGTACCATAGTTTTAGAGCTAGACGTCAGCCACCTCAAATGCTCCCCTCACTCTTTATGTCGACCGAACCGGTTTAAGTAGTCCAAACACTTGGACTGACCAAATGAACCCGATCTGTTACGTGAGGCAGAAGCAAATCGTCGAGATCCACTCCGTTAAGTGCTCGATTTAGGTAGCGTCGAAGAACTTGAGAATCTTGGAAGGGTCCTCCATTCGGTTGTACAACATAGTCAGAGGTGATGTGACCGGCTCGAGGGAGCCTATCAAAGGCGCGCTGAGTGGTTTTTGTTGATGAAGTGGTCGGGGCAGTGTGACCGGCTCGAGGTAGCCCGTTGAGGACGGACTCAAGTAGTCGTTGCCGAGGGCGGCATGATCGGCTCAGGGGAGCTTGAAGGCAGCGTGCCTTAACGGTCGTAATTGACTTGACTTGTCATCGTATACCCTAAAATGGGAGGACAAGAAGATCAAAGATCAACAATTAATTATTCAATAGTCTAAATAAGATAAGTGTGAACCAAAGCAAGTGTTAATTTTCTTTTATGAGCTGTTCAGTGTGTCATGCACCTTGTCAGCTAGAACGTAGCCCCTGTACGTAAGGTGTTAGCCATTGGTGGCGTGACCAATGTAGCTTTAGGTTTGTGGCATAGCTCGTTGCGGATAAAGCTTATTACATAGAACATGTCATAAAAGTGCTTAAAACAGTTTTTAAGTTTGCTGCTTTGTCGACATGTGGGTTATTTTCCATGCGGTAAGGTACCCTGGGTACATATCACTGACACATCGCATCGCAGTTATCAACTCGTCATCCCCAACCCATGCCTTCATCATCCTCTACATCAAAGGCCACAACATCATCAGCAATGGTGGCAGCATGGCAAAAGCTAGCTAGTGGTCCTTAGACAGAAGAGAGAGGTGAAAAAGATTATTGCTTTGCCATTAAGTTCCTACCCTGATCAAGAATGAGGTGTGGACCCAACTATTATAGCAAGTAGTGTCATGATTCATAGTAGATCGGGTCTATTTGGACCTAATTGACACGGTATGGCAAGTTCATTTGATTGATACAAGTTCGAACAACTAAAAATAGCATTTCGAAAGTGTGAAACCTAGATGACACAAAAATACAAGTTCGATGATCTAAAAATACATTTAAAGAGTTTAGGGACATGAATGAAACTCTAGGATAATTTCATGGATCACCATGTATTTTACTCTTCTAGTACGAAGGGTAGCTATTGCATAGCAATATTCTAGAATTCGACTAGTCAAAAGATTCACGTGGAGAAATAATGCGACAACCTTAATTTTCTTGAAGATGAATGGCCAGAACCATCAAAGGAACCATCATGTATTTTACTCTTCTAGGCCAAAGGGTAACTATTGGATAGCGATAATCTAGAATTCGACTAGTCAAAAGATTCACGTGGAGAAATACGACAACCTTAATTTTCTTGAAGATGAATGAATGGGTCATCAAAAGTTACAAGGACACTTCCAACCAAAAAATTACCTGGATTCAATGTTCAGTAATTAGGATGCCAACTAAACAAAACAAAAAAAGAGATGAGAAAACAGTTTCTTAACAAATGTGATAGTTACATGAGAAAAATAGAAGATATGTAAATGGGCAAAAGATTATTCTATAGAAATTATTCATTGAAAACATAATATGTCTGTAGGTAGTATCTACATAAGTTAATAGGCATATTTCTAGCATTGTGAGTAACCTAACCCCAGCTCTCGCTTCCATCCGGGGCCCGTGGGCAGGGGGGGTCGACGACCGCCGACCGAAGTTGACTGGCCGAGTCTGGCGACGAGCCGATGAGCAGTGAACAGACAGCCAGCAATTTCACTGCCAATGCTGGGTCCGGCAGCCACCCACCAGCTGTGCGAGCTCAAGGATTCTACTACTGGACCCTAATTGCTCGGTCCACGTCGTCTTGCTCGCGGCTTAAATTTGTCTCCTACAAGCTCGGTCAGTTGGTCATCGCACGCACCTCCATCTCGCGCTCCGCGAGGGAAACTGCCTCGAAGGAGTAAAGCCAGACAAGCTACGGAGTACAAGCTGTTTACGTGACGAAGGGCTCAGACCACATCTCTTGTATTACACTACGACAGGGGCCATGCATCGGTACAGTAGATCCGCGATCAGTACGGCCCTTTGCAACCCGGAAAATGTTCCTGGATCTATGTGTGTTTCCTTGCTGTGGAATTGAATTCCTTTGAAATTTCTCAATCATTCCTGTGATCGAAATACTATGTTTGTTTGTTGGATATAACCATGCTCAACTCGTTAGCTATTCAATTAATTAAATCAAATAGGTAGATTATGAGACATAAATATAGAGATGCAATAATAATGGTCAAACAATATAATGTAGAAGGCATGTCAGGTGTGCGTGCCGCGGTGCGGTGACTGCGTGCGCGTGACGTACTATTCATGGTTAGGACACGACTATTTGTGATGTCACTGGTGCAGACCATCATGGCATCCCGGTGTGTTCCCCTCTCCCTTGTCTTTCTCCTCCAGCACCTATAATGAGCACCATGGAGCATTTCCCGTGACTACTCGCTTGCTGTACACAGTATGATTGGCTACTTTAAAGTACACGGCGAGTATGTATGTCTAGCCGTGCTACTTTAAAGTACACGTCTACATTTTCTACGCTGCGCAGACATGTATATATGGGTAGGTTTTGTTTGGATGTGTATGTATTCATTTCGATCTACGTATGTTGAAGTGGATTAGAGTGGAATTAAACTAAGTTCTATTCTAAACACACGTGGATTGAAGTGAATACACATGCATCTAAAAAAGACCTTAATCTTATAGGTTGTACTAGCAACCCACAAATTAAAACCGGCTCATGACTCATGAGCCAGCCCGCTTACATGTCTAATACCAGTCAGGTGGCGTTTGGTTGCTAGAATAGTGATGGAAATGCAAAGGAACAGTATTGAGGGAGAAAACAACTGAGAGTTCGTATCTTACTAAAGCCCCGTTCGGTTCTCTCGGAACGCAGCCTTCTAGGCCAAGAAATCTTCCGCGCTAGTACAAATTAGTGAAGGAGGCTCCCTCCCGAGGCGGCTCGGGGGCGACTTGCCCAACCATCGCAGCCCACCTCTCCTCCGACGAGCTCGGCCGTCGCCCCTGCAGCT